TATTAGCAACTTCTTAGCTATTGTCAAATATAATATTAATTGAATTTTCTTTAATTTTGGGGAGAGCCAACTATCTTTGCCTTCATGCGTTGCAAGAGACGGAAGTCGTGGCAACATTTTTTTGTGTGACGACTATACCTTTTTTGATCAGTCAACTAGAATCATATATTAAATTTTTTTTTTTTTTTGAGTGATGAGAGAAACAGTAATCACTATCTAAGAATATATATTAGTTAAATTCTGTCTTGTGACTTTAAGCCAAAAAATGACCACAACGATGTAAATCAACTTAGGTTGTTCATGCATAACTGATCAATTTAAACCAAGAAAGTCAATATTTCGCTCTTACTGATGAGAGTCAAAAATACCCTGAATTACACATGAAGGCTCGACCAAGAGGATATTGACAACTCGTAATTTTCTAGTACAAAAGGCACGCCTTTTTTTTTTTTTTTTAATATTATTGACTACAAGGTAGTATATATCTGTTATATACTTTCTCTAACTAATGCAGCTCAAAGAGTCAATACCCCACCACCGAGATTTGATCATGTGACCTTCCCTCAAGGGGAACCACGAAAGTGCTATATGAGTACAAGGTACTTGGTTAGCCCTTTTAGGGAAATTTATTTCTAAATTACTTATGCACTATTTGGGACACAATGAATTCAATTAATTAATAAAACATTATATTTGTTATAATAATGAAGTGATGCCACTTAATTAAATTTGGCAATATGAGGCGATCTGAATCATTTGGATAATTATTTGTGCTTAATTATGGAAGTTTTAGTCCGAGTAGTTGCATAATAATGTTGTATAAAACTATAAATTGAAGTCAAAAGCATAACACAACTATACTATTCCATTATTTGTCATCATCATTTATTATATATTCATACATGGTTCGTAGTTTTGTATATTTAGTAATGAGGTCAACTCCCATCTCCATCCATACATGTCACTTATGACATGAACAAATAAAATTTATACATGATTGGGATCATAATAGTGGGGATCAAAGTAGCTATGAAGTCACTGTACTATAATGTTTTGTTCAATTTAGTTCTTGTATCTTTATTCTGTTTAACTTGGTACATTTATTTTAAAAATGATGAAATTAAAGACAATTGTCTAGATCTCATTAGAAACACGAGTGCAATTATTTATTTTGGACATACTAATAATTAGTAATGAGCTTTTTCTTTTGTACTTTAATTTGAATACAATTAGGCCCTTAACGACAAATTTAATAAATTTATAACGTTGACATTCAACAAATTTCCCCTTTGGATTACTTGCTATTCTTTTAATTTGTAAATATTTAGGAACTATATTACACGTTAATTTAATACAAAATGTAAATTTAAAATTATAAAAAATGAATGAAAAATATTATTTAGGTTATTAAATAATAAATAAGACAAATAAAACAAAACAACTGGAGTTTTTTTTTTTTTTTTTTTTTTTTTTTTTTTTTTTTTTTTTTTTACTTCTCGCCTCATGGACAAAGGTTTTCAACCTTTCATATATGTATACTATATATTTGTGGCACGAATTCAAGAGGTGTTTGAGATTTACGTGGCAATAATTTTCTTATATTATCTTAGGCTATTAAATTGCAGTTACAAAATTTAATTATTAAAATATAATTAAATATTTAAACTTTTTTCTTTGCTTTGACCTAGAATACATACATGTGGATGTTAAAATTCTGATGATGTAAATAAACCGACATTGCCAACTATCATGTAGTGTGATGACATCTCGGTTACTATTCCAAATGGGTAGTCATATGTTCAACGATGGTGTGGGTTTAAAATTTTTGAACTGAAAATATTTGAAAAAGTATAGAACAGATAGTACCTTGAAAAGAATCTTGAGTATTTAAAAAAAAAAGTTGATGTTATTGATTACCGTGAAAATGGCAACTTTTTAAATTCATTTACATTATTGTTTCTCAACATTTTTAAATTCGTGAGATAAGCTAACTACATGTAGTGTGATGACATCTTGATTACCATTTTAAATAGATGGTCATATATAGGTTCGAACTCCTACAGTGAGAAAAAAAAAATCGTGAGAGAATGACCAATAGTTATATCATATTATCATGGATCTACGTCCATATAACAACATGATTGAATTCATAATAAGAATATATCAAATAATTCTTAATTTTTCACTTTAATTTTATTTTTTTTATAACTTAAAACTTATTTTTCTCTTTTTCATTTTGTACGAACAAAATTAATGTATAAAAAATAATATTATTAAAAATTATAATTGTGATTTTTTAAATGACACATATATTAATATACATTAGTGTCGTATGAAACGATCCAGGTCCAAAAGGTGGCCCAAAGGAAATCGTCACTTGTAGAAATTGAATCCGAGTTATCCCAGAATTCTTCTCCCACAAAGAGATCTCATTTGCCATTTGAGCTACCCTGTTGGGTTACTGCAAGTCCCTATTATAGATCTATCAATTTATGACTACAAATTCATTACCTTAATTACCCAATGCAAGTCCACAAGTGTCACTATGATAGGTCCAATAACTTACTACTATTGATTCATCAACTCACTATTACAAGTCTACTGAGTTGCTACTGCAGATCTATTAAGTTGCAATCATTCATATAAAAAAAATAGATAAAGAAAAGAAGAATTATAACATTTCATATTATTGAGTTTTTCTCACTTTTGATCTCACACTATTAAACCATTTTTCACATCTAATCTTCAATTATTACTTTTTTCATATTTAGTCCTACAACTTTTAAAATCTTATCACATTTTGTTCTCCCATCTAATTTTTGGTCACCGGTGAAGTGGTGACCAATTTTTGTTTTTGTTGAAAAATGTCATAGGAAATGACAATTTTACCTTTCAAAATAGGTCAATTAACTATTATGCATTCATGTTCAATAAAATAGAAATACAAATTAAATTTGGTCACTAGTGAGTAGTGAATAGAAATTAAGCCAGAAGACCAAATGTGACAATGTTTTAAAAGTCATAGGACCAACTATACTGTTGATAATTAATAGTCAGTAACCAAATATGAAAAAATTATTAGTCGGTTACCAAATGCAAAAAAAAAAAAAATAATAATAATAATAATAATAATAATTAAAAAAATCTAATATTCATGGAACCAAAAATGAAAAAAAAAAAAACAAAAAAAAAAAAAAAAACTCATTAAAATTTAAATTACATACGGTTGCAAACGTCCCTCCTAAGTGTATTCGTTCCTTTTTCCTACCCATCATTAATAATAGTATTCTTTATTGGTTGTCAAAAATAAAATCTCCAAGGATTGCAATCATTCAATTACAAAAAATTCTCTAACAAATCATCTATTTTCAAAACGAATTAAGTTTTTTTTTTTTTTTTGAATACTACTGACTGTTTTACAATACAACATCTATTCATAACTACTTTCTCAACCTACTTTCAAACGAATTAAGTTTTGAAACCTCTTTTCTAAGTTTACCAAAAATACCTAAATTGTCTTTTGAACTTGATTCTCCACATAGTGAAAATATCTTAGCTGTCGACCAAGTTAACATTTTAGGCAGCACCTCACACTATGTAATTAATTAAGTGAATATTGAATAAATTGCACTTTTGATCCTGTGACTATTAGGGTACTGATAATTTGAGTATGTGACATTCAAAACTCTCAATTTAGTCTTTTAACTATGTAATTATTAGCAAATTTGGTCATGCCGATCAATTTTGGTTTGAATTTATTTTTGATGAGGGCAAAATCGTCATTGCAAGTGAAATAAAATGGGGGGGGGGGGGGGAATCCTTTCGATCTATGGAGAGGAATACGAATTAGCAATTTCTCGCCCAGAGGAGGATGTCCAGACGCAGTCGAGAAACACTAGTCGAAGATGATGTGCAGCCGCCTAGACGCATAAGAGATTCGTCAATTGGTTGATGCCCAGTCGTCCACTTCTTGTTAGTAGCGCATCAGTAATGGAACCAAGAAGAATGCCCATAGACCGGAAGGATTTTCCCCCCATTTAATTTCACTTGCAATGACGGTTTTGTCCTCATCAAAACTAAATTCGAACCAAATTATGTTTTTCCGACCAAAATTGGCCTGCAGGACCAAATCTGTTAATAATTACATAGTTAAAAGACTAAATTGAGAGTTTTAAAAGTCACGTACTCAAATTATCAGTACCCTAATAGTCACAGGATCAAAAATGCAATTTATTCTTAATTAAGTTGTCACATATTTCAACTTTTGCTTTATGTATGATATTTTTCTAACACTAATCTTCACAATTTATACATCAAAACTTGAAAAATTATCAATGAAGATAATAAAATAACGCCTGCCTTCTCCAATGATATTGTTCTGCAAATCACCTGTACATTGCCATGCACTTAGTCACTTTATAATGGGGTGTCACTTTATTGATATTGAGGTGTTTGGTAAATAATTGTTAGCTAATAGCTGATTGGATTAGCAGATTGATTGTAGAAAGGTGTTTGATAAATTAACTGTTACTAATCATAGTCAAACAAGTCAAAATTGACTGATAAGCTAACTATTGAGTTAATTTCATTTTTGGTCCTAGATTTATAAGTGGTATTCCCCTTTTAGTCATTTTTATCAAAAAATCCCTTTGGGTCTTGTATTATTGTGACATGACCAATTTTGATCATCTATCAATAAAATCGTTAAAATTTTGCTAAATTGAAGGATATTTTGATTTTTTTAATACAAACTATGTTGACCCATAATATTTTTAATGTTTATTTTTTTTTAGAAAAATTCATAATTGACGAGTGAAATGTCATTGTATTTAATGAAATTTAATTTCAACAATTTTTTTGATAAAAGAATAACATTGGTCATGTCACAATAATACTAGGACTAAAAATGAATGTTTCGATAAAAAAAAAAAAAAAATGAACTGTCATCTATAAATCTAGAACCAAAAATTGAATTAACTCGCTAACTATTTTACCAAACAAGACCAATATTTAATTTGTTCATAACATAACACCTTATCCAAATTGAGAGCCAAATCAAATTGTGAAGATGGAAACGATGAAGTTGACAAAAAGCACACACCTTTGGGTGTTCTAATAACAGAATTTACAAGCAAGATCAACCTAACAGTCTAACACACTAAGCATCTTGCGGCGAGCCAAATTCTAATGGCGGTTTCCAAGCTCACCTCACGAATGGTATCAGTAGGTACTCAGCGTAGAAGAGCTGCAACATCCCACGAAGAAACAATAGCATCGAATCAAATAAAAATAGTTATTATGAAGCTGTGAATTAATGGTATGCAACATAGACAATATTGCAGGGAGAATACATAAAATGGGGTTTTCAAATGTACAGGCATGGCATGCATATCTGGTAAGTATTATGACAACCTTTCCATATAGGTAATAATAATACAGCACTTCATCCTAATCATGCTAGTCTTTTTTTTTTGTGGGTGATGAGGGAAATTTGCAAGCACTATTCGAGGGTATACATACACTGGATAAATCCTAGCCAGAAAAGGACCATAAAGAGGTAAACCAGCCTATATTATCTATAGTTGACCGGCTCAAACCAAGAAGGCCAATAAGTCACTCCCACTAGGAGTCGAACTTAAAACCTTGTGGTTACCAAACCACAAACTTGGATGGGGTTACCCATGTTGAACCTATAACTACTAATGTGCAACCCAACTATCATCTTAGATTTTTAGTTTAGATGGAACACATGCTTCAATTTGGTATCAATTTGGTATCAGAGCCAATGCCAAAGGTCATGGGTTTGAATCTCCGCGTCACCGATAAAAAAAAAGTGATTATGGTCCACGTGTTGCTTGGAGCGAGTAATCAGCCCACACACGTGGGGGCGTGTTGAGCATATAACCATTAATGTGCAATTCAACTATCAGCTTAGGCTTTTAGTTGACGAGGAGCACATGCTTCAATTACCCACATGTTAGTCTTTTTGTGTCAATGCAAATATTACCTTCCATATGAACATGTAGAAGGATGTGATTGCTTCTTTTCTGCTTAAGTCAATTGTTTTAGCACGAGTCCAAAGTATCAAGGCCAAGGCAGCATGACCAATAACCTAAAACTCAGACAGACCATATCATTAGTGATATATAGCAAACGACCTCCATTGTATCTTAGCCACACACCAAACGATTCAATTTGTGTTAAAGAATCAGTACCGTCAAATATTTGCTCCAGGTACAGGAGGAGGATGCTCCAACCACTATGGCGACCAGGTAAGCCATTTGAAGTAGTGAAATACAAATCCAGAAGACCTGCAAATAATCAGACGCATAACATGATCTAGGATTCAGATCAGGAGTCAAATTACTATATAGATTTGTTACTTACCCTTTCTTGGCCCAATCGAACAGTAAAAGATCGAATTCCGAAGATCTTGTCACCAGCAATATCAGGAATGTCCTACGGTATCAAGTGAAAACGGGATACAATTTATACAATATTGGTATGTGGAAAATAAACCTAGTAGCAATATAACAACATTCCTAAGTAATCTGTTGTGCCATTAAGAATTAAGATTAGCCAAAAGAGGTGAAGGAACTATTACCTTAAATAATGCAATAACAACCGAGAAGAAGCTCATGAATGCTGTTGCAAACATTACAGGTTTCGAAAAGGCAACCGGTCTTCCATAAACATGAGTCTAGAAATTGAAACGAGATCAATTTAATGATAAAACGGAGATGACACAGACAAAAAGAGAATCTTATTAGGTCAACAAGGACACATTTCATCCAATGCTGGTCAAATATGAGTATAAACAAAAGGATACAAAATACAATGATTCAGGTTTAGCAAGAATGTAATATTTTAGGGATTTCAAAATTGGAGGGGAAAAGGATAAAAATAGGTCCAAAGGAAATGATACTTGAGAACAACTTACCTGTATATGCAAATAGAATGCTATCTGAACAATGACAGCTCGCACAGCAAGGATGCACATCGCAGCAACCAAAGCGAATCTCTTCCACCTGAGGAGTGGTAGCTGCAGAAGTAGAAACAATTTTATTATAAGACATATACTAAGATGACCCGAACCAAACGCCCCCTTAGAGTAATATTTAATAAGGTTTAATAATCTTATGAAAAAGACCTCAGGAAAAATTATCAATAAGCTTCAATCCTCATGTTAAAGAAGAAATAAAGTCCAATGCAATGTTCAATGCAGACATATAAAGCCTAGCACAATATGAATAAAGAAGAAGATTATAGTCCTCATTAGATATGTTGCAAATTTAATTAAATAAGCCTTTAACAAGGCACATACTAGCGGAGGACAAACAGAAACAATGGTTAGCAAAATAAAAAATAAGGAAATGAAGTTGATCTTACATCGATTGAATAGGCAGTTCCAAGTCCAAAGCTGATGAAAAGAGCCCAAAACAACGGCCAAGAACCAACAGCACTTGCAAGCCAAAAACTCTGAGAACATGAATTAATTTGAAATATTAAATTTTTAATGAATTTGAATTTGCTGATGTTAAATTTACTGTGGATACTTGAATTACTAGCCATTCACAATACATGGTTCCTGCCCAGAATCTTTATAAATGGAGTCTCACTGAATTTTTAGAATTACTAAAGAACTTAGCACTAACACCAAACTTCTAAGTTACACTACAAGCACGAGTCAGAAGTCAGAACTACAAAATTGTAGAGAACTAGATGGATATCTTATTACCATAACAGCAAAAGATGAAACGATCATTATGCCAGTTTTCACCGAATATTCGCCTGATGCTAATGGAAGATATGGTTTGTTCACCTGAAAGAAGAATAGGTTCAGACTTCAAATGCACTAGCAGGAAAAAAATTAGATTGGTAAAAGAAAAACAATTGAATTAGATGAAATCCCAAAGTAAAATTAGATGATACTAAAATCATTCAAAGAATAATATATCAAAAGCACCCAACCAAGGTCCAAGCTAGCACACAACCAAGGGACCAGCACAGGTCCTTCAGGATATTTGAACATTATTGTTGGAGAATTGTGAATCCTAGTCTACAAGACCGATAGGATGGCTCCTAAAATTCCACATTCTTTGAGCCTCAGTAAGTCTAACATGTCTCCAATGGCAATAATCATTTATGCCTCGTATTTAGTAAACAGTTTAAAAGCCACAATCATACATGACTAACATTAAAGGTGTTCCCCGGAGAATGTTGGGGACTATCAAATCTATTGGAAAATAGAACTGATAGTTAAGCTAGAAAGAGATTAGTTTCTACTGTGAACTAGTCTAGATGCACAAAATTCAGATAGTTCTGTGTGTTCAAAAATTAACCATAATTTGAAAAGCTTATAAAGAGGCCACGAAAATACGAATCTGAGATGATAATTGTCATACCTTGTCTATTTCAATATCAGACAACTGATTCAAACCAACTATGTATATATTCATAAAGAGGGCAGCAACAATGGCCTGCAGTAAAACAATTCAATGCACAAATTGTAAAACCAAGTACAGAACTCTGTTGACTCAAGAAACACATGAAGCTGACCTCAAGCGTCCCAGTGAAAAATAATGGAGAAATATCTGAGAGCTTCTCAACTGCAAGAAGAGAAACTGAAAGTATGCTCAGTGCCTGCTCACAGAAAAAGGATAGTATAAGTGCATGCTAGTCAACATAAAACAAATGGAAGACTTCCCACGTGTATTGTTCACAATTAATGAAGTGATCAGGAATTTTGAAACCTGCACTGGATTATTGAGAAATTCTATTGCACAGACATATCAGAGTACATTTCACTGAAAATGGGCAAACAGATGATTATTATATAAACTTACTTTGGACCTTTAAGTAGTTGAAACTTTCGTTATGATCTTATCTTTGCAAACATGACAGTGATATGAATAAATAAAACCTAAAAAGTAGCAATTCAAATAAATAATGCACTGACGGTACTACAAACACACACGCAATCATGAAATTGAGTTCTACATCAGATTAATTACCCAAAGTTTATGAACATAACTGTTCCTATAACCGTATGAGGCCGCGAAAATCTGTAGAAAGCATCCAAAACCCCCTGAACTGACTTCGAAGGGCTGTTGGATGGCTCAGATTCAAGAGGATGATCTGAAGCTGCTGCATTCACCGAAAACCCTTCTCTATGTCTTAAGTTAATAATACTTCCATCACTGCTTCCAACATGCTCTAGTGTCGCTAATGGTCTCTGCAATCGCATGGGCAACGGCCAGGGCTTTTCTCCGCCATTCAATGCTTTGCACTTTGAAACTTGTGTTGTTTGATGTGAATCTATGGGAATCAATTAAGACTGAATTCATTATAAACACTGTAATTGAAAAATAACAGCATATAAAAGTGAATAGATCAACCAAAATAGAAGTGCAAAATTCTGAAAAATCAAGAAGCTTAGGGAAGCATATATAATAGGCAGCATGAGAGCAAGATCTTAATTCCAGATTAAAAGTCAAGGGAGTCAGATATATGAGATTGGTCAAGTCCACCTCATACTCCTCAAACCACCCACTCTTTTAAGTTTTAACCTACCACTATAAAGCACACCCTATAAATACTACCTTGTAAAAGGATAAAGCAAGCCTAAAAGGCCCCAAAACAAGCAAAAAGCAGGAAGCCACAACAAGCTCAATACAGCATACTTCTTGTATTTATATGATAACAGTGGTCAATAAAGAGATTTGTTGTTATCAGCCCATGATGTTTTTAACCAAAGTGAAAAAAAAAAAAAAAAAATGTCATTATTTCCTTTCTTTAACTGCACACTCATACTTCATCAAACCAAACAATCAAAAATCTCCACACAGTTAATCTGCAAAAGCTCCATCAAAGTGCCCCTTTCACCACCATTCACAAAAGAGAAATAACGGAATAGTTTGTGTTCTCACTTGAATCCAAATTCCAAAATGAATTATATATGAGCATATTTCTAAACAAGGTAAAATGCTGATAGTTAAACCCAAAATGTGATATTTTTAATTTTAACTTCTGTTACAAAATTCAACTCCCAAAAATGTACAAAAATTAAACAATACAATTGCATTCTGAACACACTCAACTAAAAACAACCCACGCAGAGATTAACGGGAACTAAAACGATGCGTATATAAACCTACGGAACCTCTCGAAGAACCCGGATTTATGAGAAATAAATACACTAAAGATGCCACTAAACAAATAGGATTTCCGATTGGCAATGGAAGAAGAATGACAAGAAGAGAAACAACATCAAAAAGCTCGTAAATCGAGAATCCAAAAAGGGAAAGAAGGGAGAGAGAGAGAGAGAGAGAGAGCAGAGCGGTGTATACGTACATGAAGACGACAAGTGAGATTTAAGCGGAAACGAAAGAGAAGATGAAGTTTTCACAATTAGCAGAGACTCCATTTTTGCCTTCTCTCTCTCACTACTTCACTTCACACACGTAATAAGTAACGGAGAACTTGCAACTCAACGCGTTCAGCACATAAATAGACAAACAATCGGCCCCACCCACTGTTACGAGGACTCACACATGTTTGACTCTCCAAGAGGAATCAAATTAAAATTTCATACAATATTGTCAATTTCATTGTTTAGTTGCCAGAAAAAAAAATTATAGAAGTAATATATTTTTTTGTTGTCAAGTAATGTGATGATATCTTTAGAGTTAATTTCACTAGAGGTTTCTTATCTTTGGTGGCAATTCTAAATTTAGTATCAGACTATTGTTTTTGTCATTTTACATCCCAGACTATAATTTTTTGGACATTTTTAGTCCTTCTCATGATTTTTTCTATTTTTAGTAAGGTCATTTTTGTCCCTTCATATTTTTCTTTTGTTATTTTTCCAGTTTCAACCAGTTTAATTGGTTTAGGACTTTACTAAAAATTGGTTGAAAATATGGTTACTAAAAATCAGAGGTTATCTAAAGTTCTAAACCAATTAAACTGGTTGAAATCGAAAAAATAAGAAAAAAAAAATGAAGAGACAATAATCCCCTTACTAAAAATAGAAAAAATCATGAGAATGACTAAAAGTGTCCAAAAAGAATAGTCTAGGATGTAAAATGACAAAAATAATAGTCTGAGACTAAATTTGAAATTGCCACCAAAGACAAGGGACCTCCGGTAGAATTAACTCATATCTTTAATATCATTCTAAATTGGTCACAAGGTATACCAGATATTAAATTGTAAAGAATTACGAGTATTTAAAAAAAATGGTTAGATTTGAAATTGTAATAAATAATGAGTATGTCAAACACATTGTGCTCAGATGGTATGTAGTAACTCTCCCATATGGGAGGTCATGAGATCGGGCGTCTAGTTGAGATACTACAATGATATAGTGGTAATTGAGCAAATTTTACAAGGGTAAAATTGTCCTATTAAAGGAAAAATAAACTTTTTTTCATAAAAATAAGGTAAAATATCAAATAGACCCCTAAACTTTACACCGAAAGTCAATTAGACATCTAAATTTAAAAAAAAAAAATACAATTAAACCCCAAACATGTTATTTTCATGCAACTAAATCCGCCAACCGATTACAAACTTATTATAGGCAGTCATTCTCATTCCAACAAAAAAATTCAACGAATCTCCAACCACAACCACTTCTAATCATCTTCTTCGGGAGAATTTTTGGTCCCCTTCTCCGGGAATGGCCACTTATGGTCGCCTTCTCCAGAGAAGGTGACCTTTTCTGGTCGCCTTCTCTTGGAGAAGGTGACTAGTCTTAGTCGCCTTCTCCACGAAAAAGGCTACCAGTTCTGGTCGCCTTCTCTAGAAAATGTGACATTTTCTGATCGCCTTCTTCACGAAAAAGGCTATCAATTTTGGTCACCTTCTTGAGAAAATAGTGACATGTTCTGGTCTCTATTTCCAGAGAAGGCTATCATTTGGTCCATGGTAATATTTTTCGGTAAAATTTATTTGGTCAACGGTGTGATTTTACTGATAACCTATTAGTTACTGGTAATTTATTTATTTAACCAAAAAACATGTTTGAGTGTTTAATTGCACTTTTTTTTTTTAAATGTAAGTACCTAATTGATTTTTGGTGTAAAGTTTAAGGGTTTATTTGATCATTTTTTTTCCTAAAAATATAATAATTTTTAATATAGAAATGTTTTTCATCAAATATGAAGAATTATTGGTTTTTTGAAAAGAGTAATACTATTTACCTTTAAAAATTACTCCCTTATAATTTTCCTTCTGATTTGTTATTTACTTTTTCATTAGGGCATTCCCAATAAGGGGACTATGCATAGATTTTAAGAGAAAATTGCCAACATGGAAGGATAATAATGAGGAGAGAGAATGTTAGAGTTGATATTGTAAATGTGGAGATTTTGCAGAAAATGTGGGTCCCACCCATTTTAATAATTTTCGAGAAAAGACGCGTGAAGGCCACAAATGGCGCCCGTGTTAATGACCGTCTTTATTTTATTTTATTATTTTTTTAAAATCATCATTTGTTTTATATATTTTTTTTCACTTTTCTACCCGTTTATCTTTCTTAATCACACTTATAAAAACTCCTTTAAACTCACACCAAAATCCTTACTAATGAGGATGCCCTTAAAAAGTAATGAAATCCGTCAATCCATGATACCCAATGATTAAAAGATATGTTAGAAATGTAATTTAAGAAGAAAAAAATTAGGAGAGAGAAGCATTCTCTTTTTGAAAAATAAATTTTATAAACTAAATAAAAAATAATGGCCCTGTTTGGTAAAAAATTGGCCTATAGGCCAATTTTGGCTTATTTGACCACTATTAATTGTTTGAGTTAGTTAAACTATCAATATAAATGTTTGGTTAATTAGTTTTTTGCAACTCCAAAAGGCTAAAATTCAAAAAGCTACTCCAAGCAACTTTTTCAATTAGCTTTTTGAGAAAAAAAATTATACCAAACAGCTATCAGCTAACAGCTAATTTATCAAACACTTTTCTACAATCAGCTAATGTTATCAACTATTTATATCCTCTAATTAACACAATCAGCTAACAACTAACAGCTATCAGCTATCAGTCATTTTACCAAACAGGGCCAATATATAATTTTTTAAATAGAAAATTATACTTCCTTGAAATATATTTCCCATCCAACTAAAGATGCTCTCATGCTTCAGAGTCGCAATCAAAGTATGAGACTGAGTCAGAGTATCAGACAAACAAAAACAATTTAAAACTTTTTTTTAAAGAAAATAATTATAGTGGTATACGTTAGTCTAATTTGTTGGCGACTTGGCACGACATTGACAGCACGTGAAGTACGCAAGTCTTTTCTCTTTAAGGCACCACGTCATGTACACTTCGAAATTGCGGTCGCTTCCTATGTTAGGAATTTCGATAATATCTGAACTTGGTTTTGAATATTTTAAAAATTTTAGATCATATTTTTTATTATTGAAATTAGTTTGACATAATTTAAGGATCCGTTTAAAACGGAAAAAAAAAATTTTAAAATAATTTTTTAAAATGATTCACTTTTGTTGAATATCTTAATTTTATGATGTTTGGCAAGAGGTCAGAAAATAATATTTTGTTTATTTGGCCCTATTACATTGTAGTATCTGTTCATATACTATAATATTTCAAATGGAAGTCCAACCCGGGTACCATTAAACCACATAGTCTTGATATTTTGTTTATTTAACTGAATATTAAGAAATTGTATTTATTTTGCTCATTTTCCTGGAAATTAACATATCATATGATATAAAATAAAATAAAATAATAATAATAATAATAATAATAATAATAATAATATTATTATTATTATTATTATTATTATTATTATTAAGTAGTGGTGGTGACTGGTGAGGTGGTATGGTTAAAATGGTTTTACTTTTAATCTTTTTATGTGTATTATATTATTTAGATGTTTGCATTATTAGGACTCCATGTATCCTAGTCATATTGTAATTTTTGTATTGTATTTATTTTGTTGTATTCTATGACTATGTTAATCAATCCAGAATATTCAATTCTCATCTGGTATCAGTTATCTACGGTTTCTTCCATGGCTGACCAATCTTCTATTCATGACGGTTATGTTGATTCCTCTAAACGGACCGTCTCAGTTATTGTTGTTGTGTCATCGTTGCGTGCAGCCATGAATTCCCTATCTACATCCGTATGGGCAGCTCAACTGGTCATAGAGGTGAAACTTTGGAAGAATAACCAGAGATCGAGTGTCACCAGCGGCAGTGTGGGAGCAACCTCTCAAAGTGAGGGGGGTTCCTTGTGCGCAGTGAGCAAAGGTCTAGCCTCTGTGGTTCATGTTCAGTTGAGTTACCATGATTTACATCCTCCCAATGCTCTGTCGGGTCGGGATGTGAGGGGGGGTTCAGCCTTTTGGAAGAATGAATTCCCTATCTACCACTCATGACTTTTTCAGTCTCAAATTAACTACGTGAACTTCTTCTTCTTTTTTCCCGGAGAATGCAACCTTCATCTGCCCGCCGTCCACAGTTCCTGCGAGAGACTCTGTTGCGTCGTCATCTCTCCCGAATTCGGCATATGCCGTATGGGTGCAGCAAGACCAAGCTCGTACTTATTTAAAAAGAAAAATATTGGACATTATCCCAATCGTGTGTAAAAAAAACTAGTATATATAAGAAAAGTAATGAGTTTCCCACTAATCAACAAATTAAATAGTAAATAGTAAAATAGATAGTAACATGTAATATAACTCAATTGAAATTTTTCTGCTACGTATGAACTATACTTACAAAAACGTTGTGATGAAGTGCTCAAATATAAGAAATTTAAGTTACTTAAATATGAAGTTGTGAATTTAAACTCATATGCATATAACAATATCTTTAAGAGAGTTATATTCAAATAGAATTTGATTTAACTTTAATTAAATTAGTCAGATCATATAATTTATAAATTAAATATTAGTGGGAAAAACGTGACGCAATAATGCTCCAAATTACAGTACATTTTATTACAACTCAATATATTTAGGTCAGTTTATAACTCCTTATCTCAGTCATTCTGTAATTTCTCCTTGTATATATTCTCATTATTTGTGTTCATCTTATTCAATACAATTGATACAGTTCTCATCTGATATCAGTAAATTAGAGGTTTCTTTCCTATGGCTGACGGATCTAACTCGTCTGAACGGACTGTTTATGTTGCTACTGTTTCCTCGGTCTCTTCGGCCGTGTCTTCATTGTCCACTGCTCACCACTTTATCAGTACCAAGTTAACCTACAAGAATTTCTTATCTAGAATTTCTTATCTTGGCGTACGCAAGTTGTTCCCTTTCTTCATGGGCACGATTTGATGGGTTTCATAGACCGCACAAAACCCTCTCCGCCGGTTCTTCTTCCCGAAGCCGACGACAGCTCCCAGCCGCAGCCGAATCCCGCCTACGACGCCTGGATGCAACAAGATCAAGCTCTTCTCTACCTGCTTGTTTCCTCTCTCTCTCTCTCTCTCTCT